GGTGGGATAGCTGCATACAGTGTGATGATGGTAAAAAAGAGATGACTAGAAATAAGTTTAGCCTATAATTATCTATTGATAATTTTTTTTAAAGAAAAGTTGAAAACGACAGACTTTTTTAAGGGAAAGATAAAAAAATCATCTGTTGAGTAGCCCTGAGGGTGAGGTGGAGTCAATATATATAATTGGCTTTTACTATCAATGCAAGACGAAATCGGAATTCATGTATGCATACACATATACGTATATACACATAAACACACTTTCACATTTTTGTATAGAAGTGCTTCGACTTAAATCTTTTTCATTTTCTTTCTATGTTGCGTTCTCAATCTGGATAACGGTTGTTCATGTATTTAGTTGTAAAAACTTATTTTCCCTTTCTCTGTTAATTTTTATCGCCACGAGTCATATTTAACAAAATAGTAACTATGTTAATGTATCAGGACAATGAGACTCGTTAAGTCTGTCTACTCGTGAATTTATGCGCGTGTGTAAAATGAGCATGAAAATCGTCAGATTACATACTTATTATCGATTATGTGAAATCTTCATACCTTATATAAAGAAGTTCAAATTAAAATGTGAGCTCAATTGGTATTACAATTTTAACGAATTTCTAGTAGGATCTTCTTTCCTAACTTTCTTAAAAACACTCTTGTCGTGTAAAAGCAGTGAGTATGACTACTATGGTAAAGATAATATATACATAATGTAATAAGAGAGCTAACTCTCCCCACCTTTTTCAGTACAATGGATCCTAATACTGAACAATGGGTGTATGTTCTTTTTTAAAAAAAATCCTAATTTAGAATACGACAAGAATGTGTACGCAACATATCAGACGTTCAGAAGTTTTTCAATAATTCATTTATTAACATTAGTTCATGAAGTTTGGACATTATGTCTATATTAAATTCTCCAATAATTGTTAATTCTAGTGTAGAAAGTAACACGTAGTCAAATAAAAATATTTTTCAATATACTTGTATCCGAAACATATTAAATATAGAGGTTTAATGCACTCGGAATTTGTTAAGTTCATGAACCAAACAACCTTTGAAATTCTAGAAGTACTGGATGGTCATGTCCTTCTAACATGGGTCTCTTTGTTAGCATACATACACGACCCCATAGACGGAAATCCAACCCGGAACCCTCAGTTTCGCGCACGAAAACTCAATCTTTAAACTACTGAACCGGGATCTAATAGTGTGCAATTAAGTAAATACTAGTGTTATTTCTCAGCTCCCAGAATCCATGATTAGGTGTGTTGGAAGACCTAAGTTAATCGCTTCATAACAACTACATTGCTGATTCATATAGCGAAATACTAATTAATGTTGCATAAAATAAACAGCAACATGCTGATTTTAGAAATTTAAATGATAGCCTTTCCATACAAGATAACAATTCACAAAGACACTATTATAATTGACTTCAGATCAATTCATTAAAATCATCCACCCGATAACTTGATCATATATATTATTATCAGAAGGGGTTTGTGGAGATTTTAGAAATTTCACAGATTGGAATCATTACTCAATTGAAGTTAGACCATCATGGAAAACCTGGAAGCACTGGACGGCCGTTTCGTCCTAGTATGGGACTCCTCAGCAGTGCTGAAGTTAGACATTATCACCACTGGATGCCGGCGCAGTGGTCTAGTTGGTTAAGCGCCTGGCGCGAGACTGATAAGTCCTAGGTTTGAATCTCGCAGGAGGGAGAGATCGTGGATACGCACTACTGAAGAGTCCCAAAGTAGGATGAAACGGTCGTCCAGTGCTTCCAGGTTTTCTATAGTGGTCTAGCTTCAATTGGCTCATGATTTCAACTATTAGTATTACACACTTTATTGTTTTGTGACTGTAGGTCTTAAAAGTGGAATTACTAAAAACATATTGTTTACGGAAATATTGTTTGTTACTGGATCTAATATGAAGATGTTCAAATTATTTATTATTCAAATAATTAGTCTTGAAATTAAATTAGACGTATATATAAGTTTATGGTCTAGTAGTTCCAAACCCTAGTTCACTTTATTATTGTTCCTTTTTCATGTACAGACTTATTCTTGACTTATACTTACTTACTTACTTACTTACGCCTGTTACTCCTCGGGAAGGAGCATAGGCCGCTCACCAGCATTCTCCATCCAACCCTGTCTTGGGCAATCCTTTCCAGCTCTTTCCAGTTGTTATTCATCTTTTTCATATCTGCTTCTATTTCTCGATGTAATGTGTTCTTTGTCCTTCCTCTTTTCCGCTTCCCTTCAGGATTCCAAGTCGGGGCTTGCCTCGTAATGTAGTTTGATGGTTTGCGCAACGTATGTCCTATTCATTTCCATCGTATTTTCCTAATCCCCTCTTCAGATGGAAGTTGGTTTGTTCTCTCCCAGAGGAGGTTGTTGCTGATTGTATCCGGCCAACGGATGTTGAGTATCTTACGTAGGCAGCTGTTTATAAATACTTGTACCTTCTTGATGGTGGTTGTTGTAGTTCTGGAAGTTTCAGCTCCATACAGTAGAACTGCCTTGACGTTCGTATTGGAGATTCTCACTTTGATATTGGTCGAAAGATTCTTGACATTGTAAACTGTTTATACAGAAATAAAGTTAATATGTTTTGAACTTACAACTTAACGTCTAAAAAGTTGAATGCGTTAATCACTAAAACATTGTCTCATTTACACAGACATTGGTTTGAACAACTAGGAAAGATCATTAAACCTTATATAATGTGATCACAAAGTTGAGCATATAAATACATACTTGGTTAAATAAGTTAAAAGATATTGAAGTTCTTTGTAATCTATAGTTGAGTAAAATAGTTATTGTTTTATTTAGTGTTCAAGTATTTTCGTCTTCCTTTACGTCTTAAGTTTCCTAATTTCCTGATAATACTTCAGCAATTAATATTTTTTTCGAATTGTATCTCTGATGTCTAATCACTTTTTTCGTTATTAATATTGTTGCTACATCTACTACTATGAGATTTGCCTGAACAATATTATATTGCTATGCTAATAGTGTATGGCAATTTGAACCAATGTACACATATGTCAGACTCTACTATTAACTTTGACTGATTGACTAATTTAGATTTTTAATGTTAGATTATTGATTTGTTGTATACAAGTGTATAGTTCAGCGTAGCCCTTAAATAATGACCCAAATGTGTCAGAACTAAGTCGATTCTACTATGAATTTCTCAATGAATTAAAATCAACACTGACCATATTATTGCTTCAATAATCTATTTATAATATAATTCAAAAATGAAGAATATTTGAGCGAACAATTGTTTTCAATAACTTCATCATCAAGCTCTGCAGTTATAATCAGAATGGGTTTTGTGGAGATTTTAGAAATTTCACTGGTTGAAATCATAAATCAGTTGAGGCTAGACCACCATGGAAAACCTGGAAGCACTGGACGGCCGTTTGGTCCTAGTACAGTTATAAGTCTATAATTATGACATTTTACAAATGCCAAAACTAAGGCATATATTAATAAATCTGACAATGCTATGTGTTATAAATGGTAGAGTATAATGATGAAGTTATTGAAAAAAATTGTTCGCTCAAATATTCTTCATTTTTGAATAGTATATAGGGATTTTTAAATTTCTGATATCATATAATTGTACATTATCAAAATTTTTTAAAGTTTGAAGAATTGATAATACAGTGTTAATTTGTAACTTCTCGATGATATTGTCTTACTGTGCGATAATGCCCAAGGCATGCAATCCGCACTTAATCAGTTGGCAATCAGTGTCCGTAGGTATGGTATGTGCTTTGCACCTCCTAAGTGCAAAGTACTTCCACAAGACTGGCAGGATTCTAATCCTGTACTCACCCTGGATGGTAAGCAGATAGAAGTAGTCGAGAAGTTCGTGTATCAGGGGAGCTGCATGAGTGCTGGTGGTGGTGTGACTGATGAGATCAATGCACATATAGTGAAAGCCAGAGTGGCTTGTGCCAATCTGGGCCATCTTTGGCGCCTTCGTGTTGTCAGTCTGTCTGTAAAAGGTCGGATCTACAACGCGTCGGTGAGAGCAGTTCTGTTATATGCTTGTGAAACCTGGCCTCTTCGAGTTGAAGATGTTAGATGACTCTCTGTGTTTGATCATCGTTGTCTCTGAAGGATTGCTGACATCCAGTGGCAAAACCATGTCAGTAATGCAGAGGTTCGGCATCGTGTGTTCGGGCATAATGCAATTGGTGTCACCATTTTGAAACATCGACTTCGGTGGCTTGGACATGTTCTCCGAATGTCGTCCCAGAGGATTCCACGTCGTGCATTATTTGTCGACTCTGGGACTGGTTGGAAGAAGCGGAGGGCTGGTCAGTGTATGACATGATGTCGTGGCTTGTGTTGGTCCTTCACTACTCCTTGGCTGGGGTTCTAGAGATGGTGCGACACAGTGGCTAGAGACGTTACCAGATATGGCTCAGAGTAGAGGCCAGTAGCGATCTTACTGTAACCTTCTTTTACTTTATTTATCAAAAGTGGTTGTATCTTCCTTAACTGAAAGATTTCTTCTGATTTTACCTTTCCGTTTCTCCAATTATTACTATTATTATTATTACACTACCTTACACTAATCTGTTCGTTATTGTTCTTTTTTTTCTCTTCAAATTCTAATTGTTTTGTATGGCGCATACATATTTGGTGCCCTCTTGTAACAACAATAAATAAATAAACTTCCTCATAGTCTTCATATATTTCATTGAGTTCATGTTCACATTGTATTGTGATAAACACGATACAAGTACAATATTGAATTAGAATATAATAGTCTATATTGTGTAATCATTCCATCATTCAAAATTGATTCATTAATGAAATTAACTCTTAAGTGTTACATAATTTTTGTGGAGATTTTCCAGTTCAATATTAACTTATTCTACTTTAAACTAAATAAGTTACTCAGAAACCATATATTAACCTATTTATCTCTCTCTTTCTCTTTTACACATATTTCTTACTTTAGACGATGAATCACAACATTCACCAATTTCATCATCAATGGATTATTTCTCCCAAACAAATTCCATTTCACCACAAGACGATAATGTATCACAAATAAATGTTTACAATAGTAATATTAATAATAATAATAATACTGATAATAATAATATTATCATAAAGAATAAAAAAATACGTAAACCGCGTACAATTTATTCCATATGGCAATTGCAAATGTTAAATCGACGTTTTGTTCATTCTCAATATTTAAATTTAACAGAACGTGCAAGTTTAGCATCACAACTTGGCTTAACACAAACACAAGTAAGTATATATCTTCTAAAGAAAGTATCTATCTTGATTATATCATAATCATATATGAGAATTATTTTCATTATGAAATGAAAACAATAACAAAACTTTTGTAAATCATTCATGTTGAATTGGGATATTGTATAATATCAGAAGGGGTTTTGTGGAGATTGTAATAATTTCAATAGTTGAGATAATGAGTCAATTGAAACTAGATCACCATAGGAAACCTGAAAGCATTGGACGGCTGTTTCGTCCCATTGCGGAACTCTTCAGCAGTGCGCATCTACGACCCCGCCTCGCGGGATTCGAATCCAGGACCCATTAGTTTCACTAGCTAGCGCTTAACCACTAGACCACTTGGCCGGCATATATATGCATAATAATCTTTTAATCGAGTTTACCAACCCGTTTTTGTTTTAATTGAGATCGAGGAAGTAAGATTTTTGTGTTGATTGATCAGTAAAACAAATTTATGAGTAAATATAATTGATGATAACATTGAATATTTGTCATGGAATAGCATGATAATTTCAGGCATCACGTTTAGACTGAGTTGTTTAAACGTATCATGCTACTTCTTAGTGAATGTGATGGATAGATTATCAATGTATATATATTATTTCCATTATCTAAGGTTATCTCTGTGCTAATGTGGTATGGCAACTCGAACTGATATACGTACGTTCTACGTTGTTACTGACTGACTATCTTAATGTACTAAAACTCAAGTAACAAAAAGTGATTTGTAATATTAGTTTTGGTCATATTTCTTTAACTGCATGTATGTTTGTGGAACTACCCAACTATCTAAACTGAAACGTAATTTAACCATCCTTAGACAATCGTTTATTTATCCACATAATAATTAGACAAGTTAATCAATATATGAGTATAAATAAAGATTTCATTCTACAGTTCATTTCAAGAAAATCTGTACTAATCAACTTAAATCTTAATCAATTTTTGATCTACCTGTGAGATGAACATTGATTGATCGGATTAAAAGGAACTTGTTTATTCGCTTCATCAATAATCATCCTCACCTACACGTGTATACACAACTGTTTAAATGTGTATATCAAAAAAAAGTTCGAATGAGTTCAGTAATACTATTGATTGGTTGTATAAACTATCCTACTCTTTACAATACACATAATTTGTATATGAAGAACGAGTTGAAGGTTAAAATTGATAATGAACTGCCATAATTATGTAATCATGAATAATTGTGAAGGATTTATAGTGGAAGTATACATATGTTTGACCATCTGTTTAGTTAATGTCGAATTAAATGTTACTTTAAATTAAGATCATTCTTCTTTGAATTGTCACGACATTATCATCTAGATGATGATGATGATGATGACCGGGATGACAACAACAATGTTATTGATGAAATGCACGAAATATGAGAAATAGTCAACAGTCATAATAAAAATTCTTTTCTCTTTTTTTTCTGTCAAAATATCATTATGAATAATGTTGCAACAAACAAACGGTGTGTGTATGTTTGTTATATTTCTTTTACAGAAGAGAAATAGTTTTCAGATCATGAACTATTTGAATGTAAATAGTACTAAACGTTTATGGTCTGTCATCATAAATACAACTGATTTGTTTAGAAATCTGTGATTATATAATCCAAGCATTCAACTTTGAACTTGAAAAAATTGAAAATCGACCTTATTATCCAGTTTATTTATCAATTATAAGTTTATATTGAGATCTTGAACTTATGAATGTTAGATCATCATTAAAAACCTAGAAGCACTGAACAGTCGTTTGATCCTAGTATAGTATTCATGATCTCTCATACTGTACTCGAACCCAGGTCCTCCACCCTTACGCAAACACTTAACATCTAGACCAATGAAATGGCATCTAACGGTGTTAATGTTTACATTTAGCCACAACATTGTGCAACTACTTTCCATTATCTTTGGTGGCTAACTGTCGATTCGGTTGTATTCCACTAGTCACGGCTTCTCACTATAATTCTGAAAATTACTTCTAGAAGCTAGTCACTTTTGAGCACATGATAATTATCAGTATAGGGTGGTCGAGTAATTATTGAAATCATGAATCAATCAATGTTAGACTGTCACGGAGAACCTGGAAGCACTGTACGTCCGTTTTGTTTTAATATGGAACGATTACACCATTCAACTCCGACAACATAACACTCTCAAAAACCTCATCATGAGCTATGAATATTCTTCATTATCTTATGGAAATTATATACGTTTGAGTGTTAAGAGATAAAAACGAAAATAGGTGAAGTCGGGTTTGGTGTAACAATTGAATGATTGAATGTCTTTAAATTTATTCATATTAATTATTACTTCATAATTCGTTCACCCATGTGGTGAGTGTATTACTTAGAAGACTAAATTCTCAGTGACATGTTGATTATGTACTTGATTGATTAGAACGTGAGTGATATACGAAACTGATTTTTTCCAATCGTTTATCGCAAATAGGAATGACCAGTTATTTTATTTATTTGAACACATAAACATTGGTACAAAGAGGCACCGAATATATATGCGCCACACAATTCACATGATTTGTGTATGGGCTGTGAAACTATATGGGTATCCAGACCAGAGCAGATGGTTTTCTTAGGAGGCCGCGCCCTAAAGGTCTGATCCACAAGGCAGTGAGGGCGACGTCAGGAGGTGCAGTTCCATGGTACCAGGTGACGAACAATACGCTGGTACTCCAGTTACTCTCTCAAGACCCTGGAGCCCATGTGCACCAAGGGTTTGAAATCAAAGTTTTGCAACTCTCTTAGTTGAAACCTCCATATCCATAAACCCGGTTAAAGCGCCGGACATTCGCTTTTCGTCCTCTCAATTTCGTAGATAACACCCTGTCCGCCAGAAGTCAGTGAGTAAGACTTCCCTGAAAGTTGTTGTTTATATGTGGTCATGTGAGAGCATTAGAAGAAGGAGAGCTGACTCGCCCCAACCTCGGCCGTAGCATAGCAGTTGGGGACTATGACTGATTATACAACTTAGTGAATTCATTAAAGCTGTTGTTTATGGTCATGGTATTCTATAATATTGCAAACATGTATTAAGACAATAAATTACCATTGAGTTAATTAGTGCCAAGTACTGTTTAGTTCCAGTTTAACAAATTCGGATATTAATTTAACTGTAAATAAATAATTTAAAAACTTATGTGTTCAGTTCTCATTTTGATTTATTTCCGGTATCATCTATCATCTTTATAGTCTTGCTTATGACATCCAGTTCACTATTTACCTGTTCATGTCAAGATTTTTGTAGTTAGTATTCGAAATTTTGACTACATAATCAAATTAGAGTTTTTTTGTAAGATCAACTGTTTGCTAATAATATCAGTTATTTTGTGGATTTTCAATTCTGAGATTATTGTCTATCTTACTTTTATACTGATGAGCATAACGTTTTTTTTCACATCATGAGTTACTCTGAACTAAATCCATTTATTATATTACTGCCAATGATCAATAATGAGTCAAATTAAACGACTGTACAAATATGTTATAGTCTACGTTACTTTTGACTGCCTCCATTAGGATATTGTTTTTTTCTGATTAGCGTTTCTACAGGACTTCCTCCTTTATCCGGGCTTGTAACTGACAGTAGCCCCAGAGGGGTCCCATTAGAATATAGTTACAAAATAAATCTATATTCTTACATATCACTAGAAAATCTGTCTATGTTGAATTTTATTCTAAAGAAAAACCGAATATGATTACAATTTATGGATCAGAAGGTAAACGATTCAACTTTCGTCTGTTATGTCATCGATTCTGTTAAGTACACGTGATGTGTGTAGGATCACAAACCTTTATGTAAAAACGTCTGGATTAAAACAGATTACACAAACATGAATTTGAATATATAGTTAAATATCAGGAAATATCTATCATGAATGAAATATATATCAAACATTGGGGACCATTTAAATGAATGTTCAATAAGAGGAATTTATTTATTGGGCATAAATTTGTGTATTGGCTTTGAGTAACAGTTTGAGTATAACAGTCAATGATATAAATCATCTCCTTAAAATGAAATAGGTTAAACGACGTTAGAAATTGTTACTTAGTGGGCTAAAATAGAATGTCTTAACCTATGGACCACTATTCTGAATTTGTTTTAATACATCTGAAATGGACCTTAGTATTTTTTGATAAATTAAACATTAATTCTTATTATAAATTGATATTAACCAATGAAAAGTAGTTGAAAAGCGAAATAGGTTCATGAATGATATATTTAGAAATGAGGATACTAATTGTATTCAATCATTAAATTTGATTTCGTGTATAGTTTTCAATCCATCCAGTGCTTCCAGCTTTTCCATGGTGGTCTAGCTTCAACTAACTCATTACTCATGAAGATGACTAAAATCTCCACAAAATCCCCCTTCTGATAATAATCATCTACTCACTAGTGACTGGCTTCAACAGGTAGTTCCTGGAGTTCTAGTGAGAAATGATGACCAGTGGAGTTCAACCAGGTTTGTTGTGAGATAGTAACTCACTGAAGACAATGGTGAACGGTGGCTTAATTTCGTGGATTGGTTGAAGTTAGACATTAACACCGTTGGATGCTAGACGGCTCAGTGGTCTAGAGGTTAAGCGTTCGCTTGCGAAACTGGTAGGTCCTGGGTTCAAAACTTGCAAGGCGGTATCATGGATGCACACCACTGAGGAGTCCCATACTAGGATGAAACAGCCGTCCAGTTCTCCCAGGTTTTCAATAAATCCCCATGTTCAAATAAAAATTTCGTCTATTCAACTGAATAATCTATCCGTATATTAATCTCAGTAGTTGAATTCATGAGTCAATTGAATCTAGACCACCATAGAAAAGCTGAAAGCACTGGACAGCCGTTTCATCCTAGTATGGAAATCTTCAGTAGTGGGTATGCATAATACCGCCCCGTAAGATTCGAACCATATGACCTTTTCATTTTTTTTTACATCTTTTCTACTATCTAGATTATTAAAATGAAATAATATTTATGTTATGACATCACATGGGGTTTTCTTTCATTTTCAACATATACTTAATTAGTATAGATATTGGCAAAGTAATTATTCAGGTTAATTTTCTTTTCATTTACATTTATCCCTTACCTATCTTTCTCTCCTTCTCTCTTTTTTCTCTTCTATGCATACATACACCCACGTGAACAATTAAAATAAGAACCGATATACTTATCTAAGATAATTAAGTTTATCAACTTGTAGATTGTAGACAAAAAAATGTTTATACATTCATATATCATATTATCTATCGATTCATGTATGTGTGCATGAATGACTTGTAATAGAGGCGTTATATATATTCATATGATAAGAGGATAGAAGTGAATCAGGCTACTTCTCTTCTCAATGAGTAGTTCATTGTCATCAATTGCTTGGAATATAAATTGAAGAAGTGAAAAATGAACAGAGCAATTATCTTTTCGATATTTTTTTAAAATAAAAAAAATAACTCATATAATAGTTTATTATGGAATATGGAAAACACAGAAATAACATACATACAAACAGGACAGTAACCGAAATACTTTCAAAATAGAGAGAAAAGGAATATATTAATAGATTATCTTAGTTTTTATATTGTTGCGCACATACATAACACTTCCTCACCACAACCACCACCACCGCCCCCACACACACATACACATATATACCTAAGTATGCACACAAAAAATCAGTAATGATAAGGGTTAATTATCATAGAAATAAAATAAAAATAATTTTTTTATACGGAGTTATTTTTTATCATTTTTGTTAACTTGAATACATTTTACAGTGATTTCACACAAGCAAGAAACATTTGAGAAACCAACAAAAAGAAAAAACCCATTTAAGTGGTTAGTATTTATAAAATAATAAATTAAATTTTCGAAAAAGTGTTTATATTTGTTTAAATTTTGTAACTTTTAATATGAATATCCATTGTATAAGCTAGTGATTCTCTGAATTCAGTAGTAGTTCAGTGGTGAATGCATTCATGTTCCAAGAAAAATGTACTTGGATAGCATGTTTGAATATATGGGCTACCTGTTCCTACCATCTGGATATTTCAACAAGTTATCTGTTTTCTTGTTTGTTTTAACACATTATTATGCTTATTTGGTTGCATAACCTATTCAAGAGAGTTTGTGACAAGTTTACGACATTGTACAAGTTACAAAAGAGCTCAATCAAAGACATCATGGTCGCTGGCAAGATGTTGATTCATGAACTGTTAACATCTAACTGGCGACTACTCAATATTTGTCTCAAGGATCGATCAAGAAATAAGAGACAGGAACTTGCTGAAATATTTTTTGCTGAGAATTCGATATTTTCACAAAAGGTTTGTGAAGATATTAGAAATTTCACAGATTGAAATCATGATCCAGTTGAAGCTAGACCACCATGTAAAACCTGGAAGCACTGGACAGCCGTAACTTACTAGACCACTGAGCCGGCATCCAACGGTGTTAATGTCTAAGTTCAACCAATCCACGAAGTTTCGTCACCGCATACCATTGTCTTCAGTGAGTTACTATCTCACAACAGACCTAGTTGAACTCCACTGGTAACGGCTTCTCACTAGGACTCTAGGAGTTTCTCTTGAAATCAGTCACTAGTGAGTAGATGATTATTATCAGAAGGGGTCCCATACTAGGACGAAACGGCCATCTAGTGCTTCCAGGTTTTCCATGGTGGTCTAGCTTCAATTGACTCATGATTTCAATCTGTGAAATTCGATATAGTACCAAAAATATAAAATAATATAATAGAGCCAATAATAAAAAATAATAATAATAAACCGTAACGTAAACATCGACGCTGTGATGCAGGCGTATCCAAATAGAATAAAATTCACATCCTCGTTTCCGTCGTTAGCTACTATCGAACCTAAAAAAAGTTTATTTGAATTTTATAAATTGATAATGTGGGTTTTCTAGAATAAAATACAAGGTATTGTTAGGACTAAAAGGCGTTTTACTGCCAAGAAGATTATTGCCATCTGATTTAAATTTTCCTAGTTTGAATTACAAACTGATCTTATTTAGAACATCATTGAAAAGCTGGAAACACTAGATGGTTGTTTCGTTCTAGTGTATATTTATCAGCCTACACATAGAAAATAGAACTTAAGAATTTTAATCTACCTGAGCTGACACTTAATAGTTTGAATGTCTAACTTCAATAAATTCACGATATTGCACAACGCTGATCCATCGCCTCAACCATGTCGTATTTGAAACAGCTACTTACCACAGGCAGCGGATAAGAGCTGCACACTATAGTAAATTAATGGAAGCTAGACATTAATACCATTAGATATCAGACTAGTGGTCTACAGGTTAAGTGTTCTCACGTGAGATCGACAGTTCTGGGTTAGATTCTCATGCATGGGTTTGTGATTGCGCACTGTTAAGGATATCCATACTACGACGAAATGACCATCCAGTGCTTATTTGTCTCCAATGCTGGTCTAGGTAAAGTCAGTTTAATCTAAATTGAAAATTCTACAATGTTCACAAATCCCCTTATATAAATGATTAAAATTTTTATTGAGTTGATTGACATTGTGCACATCATTTATTTCGAGCCTTTCTGATCAATTAAATTTGCATAATCTTAACAGTAATATAAGAAATGCTTAAAAAACTCTATATGTTATAAATTGTATCCAGTTAATGATAGATACACTATAAGTACATAAAATAATTGGTATTTGTTGTTGTTCAGAATGACACCTTAATGTTCAAATTAAGGAATACTACATTCGTACATTACTGTAAAGATTAATAGTTCATTTAATATAATGTTATGAAGTGAACAAATCTTATCTATAAGGAATAAATTGATATATACAATTGATCGGCCTCTAAATATTGACCAATATCGTCTATATCGAATACTTCTTAGCGTTAATTGTATACTACAAATCAATCTACGGCCTGAGTAGCTCGGTGGTAACATTTCTGACTGTGATATATCGATGTGTCGTCATCAAGTGGAAGTGATGACGAATTATTAGTTTATAGATAACATATGGATGATGTTTGATCGCAGATTTTTAATGGGTCTTATATTAGGATGAAACAACTTTTTAAATGCCTTTGATATTCATTAATAGTTTGGTTAAATATTCAGTCAATGTTCTTAAAAATACTAATTAACAAGAGAACTTTGATCTATCGATTATTTCACAATTAGTAGAGACAATTGATTAATATCCATGTCATATATGTACATATGACCTTGACCCATTGTACTTACTCTATGACAGTATGCTACTGTAAAACAGTAATATATACTAAAGTGAATTACATCAATTGTTTTTATTAGTGATAGATAGTAAAAGAGACTGAAAAAGACTATGATTAGGTGACTGGGTAGGTGGTATCTTATTGACTGTGAGTAAAAAAATATTTGATCGAAGAAAATTTGTCCCCAGATCAATCAACTGCTGAGAGGATTTACTCATAAGAATATATATATATATGTATATATACTCTCTGATCATATTAATATGCTAGAATATGTTCTTTAAAATCACAAACATACATTTTGAGCCCGCATTATCTTCACAGATGTATGGAATGAACACCGAATTCAGTGTACTTCATTGATTAATTATTCTGATTGCTATTAATCCTTTATGTATGTGTCATCAGTAGTTAAATATATGATTGAACATTTAACAGTTGTTTAAGCTAATTATAACCTAGTGTTAATTAGTACACAAGGAGTTTTAATCTTCAACAATGGATACATTACTGCCAAACTATTAAAATGAGTTTTCACTTGATTATACTCTTCTTGATTCTATTGTTTATAAATATGAACTTTAAGTGGGTAAGGAAAGATTAACAATTAGAAAACATGCAAATCAATCATACTAGTGTGATAGTAACATACTAAATGAACGGAGAAATGCTTGAAAATGCTAGATATCCCACTCATATTGAATATTGAACAAGGCTTTTCATCTGCACACTTGGATTCCAATCTAATGATAAACATAACTTGTTACTCAGGAAACAATGACTAGATAAGTAAACGTATTTAGTTTACACATTGTATATATATAGTTTTTTATTTTCTTCTGTTCGTTTTTCTACTCTAAGGTTAAAATCTGGTTTCAAAATAAACGTTCCAAATTGAAGAAAATTCTACGTCAAGGACAAGATCCTACAGCATTTCTTAATGGAACAACGAATGATACACCTGAGGATGATCAAATGGTAGGAATTTTTTTTGTCTATAAAAAACTACATATATTTAGTCACAAATACAAATTGAAGTAAATATATATTGCTGACTAATATGTTTAAATGTAGCATTGAGCTGCTTCTGTTTAAGTGTCGGATAGTATCATCCAATTCGTACCTCTAAGTTGGTCAGAGTTTTATTTTCGGCAAGATTCATTTTTATGGAATGGGGTAACTAAATCGGGTTTAAACCAGGCAGTAAACCTAAAAGGGCTCTCTAACTGAACTATATAAATGTGCATTTCATAAAAATGACTTACATGTACTTATCAAGGAACATAACAGTTATTAGGAATATGACCAAAATCGTTATTAATGTTTACAAATTTGCATTTTAGTTATCGTAACGTACAATCTAACAACAGTAACAATCATAATTATTCATAAACTGATTTAAGATAGTAGTTTGATGTATATTATAAATCCACTATAACAGTTATGAGAAACCGCACACGTAAGAGGGGAATCGTGATGTCAGTCAGTCAGTCAGTAACAACGTAGAACTTCGTACGTACGTACATCAGTTCGAGTTGCTATACCACATTAGCACACAAATACAATTGTCAATTCAAATCACATAGTGGTAGAAGTAGTAAAAGTATAAGCAGTAGTTGGAAAGATTAAGGTTGGAAGATGTTATTCAAGGAGTATGATACAGTGAACTAAATTTGGAAATAGGGAAAAAAGGATATGAAGAATTCAGAAGATTAGAATTTGGAAGAACACAAATAGTGGATGCACCTGCGCCATTGCAAACGATTTCGAGTCATGTCATTCAGGGTCTCTAACTATCGGTTGCTATCATCTCGCGGTCCCCAACCAGGTAGTCTACACTTACCGACATGACTCAGACCACTTGTCAGTGACTTCATGGACTTGTGCCATGTTTTGGTCTGACCGCCCCTAACTTTCTCCCAACCTACTCCTATACCGTGAAATATAGCACATCGAGGCAGTCGGTGGATGGGCATACGTAACACGTGTCCCAGCCATCTCAACTGATGAAGTTTCACTACTTCATCAAATGACTTGCCATCCTTACATAGTACCCGTTTCCTAACAACTGCATTACTTACTCCATGGTCCCAGGATATACGAGCAATATTTCGAAGACACCTATGATCGAATACTAGTAACCTACGAATATCCTCTACTCTTACCGGCCATGTTTCACTGCCATAAAGTAGGACGGAACGAACTGCTGCACAGTGAACAAGTCCTTTGGTTGATGGACGGATATCTCGCCTGTACCATAAATGACGCAAGTTGGCAAAAGCTAGTCGAGCCTTCTGTATCCGTGCTGAGATTTCGTCACACACCAGACCACAAGGGCTGATGAGACTTCCAAGATAAGTGAAGCGGTAGACACACTCAACTACTTCACTCCTTATCATTAGTTCGGGTGTCGATGCAACCCAATCCTGAAGTAGCATTTTACATTTCGAGGGGGAGAATCGCATGCCAAACACGCTTGCATTGTTGCTTAGAGTGGTCAGAAGACTCTGCATTTTGTCAGCGTCATTGGCATATTCTAAGTCAACAAGTGAACCTCCTGGTAGAAGTTCAACCCCTGGAAGTCTAGATGAGTAAAGTGTTATCTCTAAAAGTACGTCGACGACAAAGTTGAACAAGGATGGAGAGAGTGGGCAGCCCTGATGAACACTACTTGAGGTAATCGATTCTGATCACAGTTCGCCATAAGCTCTCACTCTACCAGTTCAGTTGTGTTCGAGTAGAGAGCCTGTATAAGGTTAATGTACTTCTTGGGTACTCTTTTCAGTGACAAACACTGCCATAGAACCTCACGATCAACAGAGTCGAATGCCGCCTCAAGGTCGAGAAATACTACGATTGTGGGGTGTCTGAATGTTTCTATGTTCTAGGACCTGACGTAGTGTGAATATATGGTCTATACAACCACGTCCAGGTCAAAAACCAGTCTGATTTTCGCTAGTCTGTTCTTCACAAGCTTTATTTAGGCGTCGAAGTATTATTGAAGCTAATACTTTATACACTATATTAGTCAAACCGATTCCTCTGTGATTGTCATAAGATAACTTTTATCCTTTCTTATAGACTGGTACAATCAGTGATTGGGACCAGTCAAATGGGATTACGTCCGGTTCCCATATTCTACCTAAGACCCCAGTCAATCTCTCTGCTAATACTGAACCACCATCCTTAAAAATCTCAGGAGTAAACCTGTCAGTGCCTGCTGCTCTCCCTCGCTTCAGATTTTCTATAGCTTTTTCAACCTCGTGAAGAGTCGGAGGACTTACATTAAATTGCCATTCGGGTCGACTGGAGATCGTCGATTGTGATGTAACTTATGGAAATCTTAAGATTACACAAACTTTTGGATAGATAACACCGCATATCTTAAAATGTAATAAACTTATTTTTAGATCCCAATAAGTAGAAAAATTGTATTTTCGACGTTTCGTAACTTAGTATAAGCCACTTCTTAAGACTAAATGAATAACCGAAAATAGTATTTATCATTAGTCTTCTATCCAGTGCTCAATTCATTTGAAACTATTAAGTAATATATATTAATTTTTAGTTGCTTAAACTCACTTCAATGTTTTTCAGTGATTTCACAAAGTTTTGTACCAATAAAAGACTGACCAATTGTAGTCCTAAACATCAATGGGAAGATTCGAATAAACGATACAAAAGAAATTAAGTTTTGTGTACTGTTTTATTTGTTCTTTGATTTATGGATACCTATAAACTATGATTGGAAACCAAATACGACATGGTTAAAACTAGGTAGGGTCAGAGCAGTTGAGTTTTAAGCTCATTATATAAATACCGCTCATTTTATTTTATGTCTGAGTGTGTCTAATTTACCACCGAAATATGTATTAGCACTGTTATAAATGAGCTAATTGTTATAAAACTAAGATTGTTGTAATAATTTTTTGAATGTTTAATGTATGATATTCCGTTTATAGTTATTATAAAGCTTCTTTTAAATCATGAACTGATCTAAGTTAGACAACTGGTAAAATTAGTAAGCAGTGGACGGTCATTTCGTCGTAGTATGAAACTCTTCAACATTGCGCATCCGCCAGCTAGCATCTGGGAATCGAACCCAGAACCAGTAGCACCAGTACCTTCAACTTGTAGACCAGTGATCTGGTATTCAGCGGTGTTAATGGCTAACTCCGCTTAATCCACAACATTACTTGATAGTTTTCCATTGTCTTTGTTTATGAGAATAGCTGAGGAGTCTAATGCAAGAACGAAACGGGCATCAATTGTTTCCAGGTTTCTCATGGTTGCGTAGATTAGATCGGTTCATGATTTAACTGAAATTCAACAATCTCCACAACACTGTACTGACTAATAAAAAGTTATTCCAATCGAATTTCTTGCATGAAACAACTAATCGACTCATGAAAACTCGTCTGATTAGATATTCTAAATATGATTTGCACTTTATTTATACTTTATTTTCAAAATCGATTATTCCTTTCATATGAGAGATACTTACTTTTTTGCTTCCATTAATCTTTAGGGAAGTGATTATGAAGAAGATTCACATTCGTTGAATTGTGGTGACACATCGAAATTGTCATCCGATCAAATTGAATACAACAGTCATCATTCACATATTCCACATCCCATACAGTCAAATCCTCAACATTTTCATTCAATCAACCAAAATGAAGATTTAGAATTTAATAAAAATAGAACACATGAAATGAATAACTTTCAGAAGAACACAGGAAGAACTAATGATTATGATGAACGATTTTTTCCTTTAAATAATAGTAATACAAGCTGTGAGTTATATTTAAAGTCAAAATTTCCACCTCATTCTAATGAATCCATGAATCAATTAACTGATGATGAAGCTATCAAAATTTCTACTCATCAATATTTAACATACACTGCACCTAAATTAACCAATGAACACCATACAAATACTTTTATTCAAGCTGAAGATCACGTACTAGTTAATAATATTCAAAGTCATTTATTAACTGAACAATCAAATAATGTAAGTTGTAATCTTTCGTCACATTCCCTTTCTCAATGTAATACTCATTCATCGAAATCTTCATCACCATATTCTGATGGTAAACAACAAAGTTATTCTGAAAATATTATTCATAATGATGAACAATGTTCACATAATTCATGGTCTTCATCACTTCCTACAATCCAACAAAAATCTAATGTAGACGAGAACTGTTCAAATTTACAAAAGAAATCTGACTGTTCAACATATAATACAAATTCTAATTGGACTTCTGTAAACAATCAATCAATTCATGGTAAATCTGATGAAATTAATCTTGATATTCAATTACCACCGTCATGGTTACCAAGTTCAGTGAAGAATTATCAACCTACTGAAATTTTAAATACAGTATCTACAGAAGAATGTAAATTATTCACTGAACATGAAGATCCAGTTAATCAGTGGTGTATTGATCAGCCTAATTTAAAACCACAAGCTGAATCGACTATAATCGAAGTTCCATATGAATATACCTATTAACTCGTAATATATATATATATATATATATATATATATATATATATATATATATATATATATATATATATATATAAAAGTGTATTGGATGAACGTACAGTTGTACTATAACTCATTTAGTTACATAATGTCAAATAGATATTTATAAATTTATGTATTTCATTCAGCGCCAACACAAAATTAATTCACATAACAACTTTATCAAAGTAAACATACTGATAATTGCTATCTCACAAACAAATTTGTCGTACTTTCTTGTCATATAACAATCATTATTCAATGTGCTTTTTTAAATTGTCGAACTTAATGGAATATAAATTTGAAAGAAAAAAAAAGAACGATCCATTCGAGTTAAACAAGATTGAATAAACAGGCCATTCACTCCGATAATGATATCTAATGAAGTAATGTGTTTTTCTTTCCCAATAAAATTGGAAACGCAATCCCGCCGTCTGATTAACTATTGTTCTTCCTCTCTCTCTCTCTCTCTTCCTTACTCTTTTTCTAGAAGTATACGTATATTGACCGTTTGTTAATTACACCACAATCATTGTTTATACACTTGATGCACATTATTAACCATAATAACATTCTATTCATTGGAATGATATGATATTATGAAGAAACATAATGATAAGATGATATTAAAAGAAAGTAGAATAGTTGTTATTTATTATTTTTTTCTGCACTCATCTTTCTTCATTGTGAATTTCATTTATTATCATTGTAAATAAAATAAAAAGATTATATTGCACAATGTTAGTTCCAGTTTGAATTATATTTTGTTTATATATCCGATCCACTTGAAATAATTCGTAGTTGTTGTTTGGATCAAATTTGATAAAGGATCCGAAGATAATAATACTAGAGGAAGATTGTAGATTTGACATTCTCAAAGTCTATTTTAATTTGGACAGCCTAATACTGTTACTGATCCTCATAAAGATCGAGTATGGGAGAGTCAGCTCTCCCTCTCCAAATGCTCTAACATGACCACACGTATAAAACCACTTCCAGGAAAGTCCTATTCATTGTTTTCTCGTAGAGGTGTTGTCTACGAAGTTGAGAGGACGAAAAGCGAATGACCAGGGCTTTAACCGGGTTAGTGGATATGGAGGATCCAACTATACGAGTTGCGAAACCCTGATTACATTCCCCTGGTGCAAATGGAATACAGGATCGTGAGAGAGCAATTGAAGTATGAACGTAATGTTGGTCACCGGGACTGAACTTCCTAACGTTGTTCCGCTGCCTTGTGAATTAGATTTTCAGGTTAAGGGCTTAATGAGTGTTCTATTGAGAAAACCACCTGTTTCGGTTTGGGTGCTCTAGCAGTATTCCAGCTCGGACATACATCGAGTGATTTGTGTTGTGGATATGTATTCGGTGCCTTCTTATACCAATAAATAAAAGGATGTGACTGACTACCTATAGAACTGAAGTGCATCTACAACTGACGGGTCACTGAGTGAGTAGTGATCAATATCATGTCTGTCAAATTCTTCTTAGTTCTGTTTGAGTACTATCTATAGAGTTGCAATTTAGCCATTAGTTCAGGTGACTCTACACTGCCAGGGATCATCAGTTTCTCCAAGATTACAGGTACACCTTACTGACGAGTGGCAAAAAACCTGAAATCTAGGTAAATAAAGGTATCCTGTTAACTACATCCAACCACAACCATGCATCTCAAAATAGTGCACGAGATATCGAGCCATTTAGACTACTGGCCACATCACAACTCAACTCATAAAATTGCACTGATCTTATTTTTTTTAATAATATGACATTTTATAATCGAAATCATAAGTCTACAATCTAGTAATTTAATTCTTAAGACTTTACTAAACAGTTTACGTTTGAGCAATCTGTATGACGACAATATAAATCGAATTTGACCTCGACCTTTGTGAGTTTGAGTAATTCATTCGTTGTCAATAATTTTATTTATACCGAAATGGTGTTTTTTTTTAAATGTCTAAATATTTTCAATAGGTCAAATAAAATATGGAAGGTTTTTACACGTCAAATGGAGTTGATCAACTGGTATTGTTGATCATTTCCTACAATGATTTAAGTGTTAATTTTAATAACAAAGTGAATTATTTATTTAAACACATAAACATTGGTACAAGGAGGCACCAAATACATATGCGCCACATGGATCATTCGATTTGTGTGAGGGCTGGGATACTGCCCGGGTGCCCAGACCGGAGTAGGTGGTTTTCTTAGGGGGCCACACCCTGAGCCATGGACCTAAAGGTTTAACCCACAAGGCAGTGGAGCATCGTGAGGAGATGCATTCCCATGGTAGCCGGTGGCCAACAATTGGTTCATACACCATTTGTTCCCGCAGGATACTGGAGGCTATGTGCACCATTGGTTTTGAATCCGGTTAAAGCGCTGGATATTCGCTTTTCATCCTCTCAATTTCGTAGACAACACCCCCGCCACGAGTAGGCAGTGAGTAGGACTTCCCTGGCAGAGGCTGTATACACGTGGCCGTGTGAAAGTATTTCGAGAAGAAGGGCGGGCCCACCCCACTCTCGGCCATACCAGTGCATTTGGGGGCAATTAACACTACACTGATAACTAATATGATCTAAATGATTAAGAATTAAACTCAATAGTTAGACAATAGTTGTAATGGGTATCGAATGATTTATGGTTTCCATATCCTTCAACAAATTATTTGTTATATCACTTGTGATCATGTTTATTCCTGTGCTTAATATTTTATATGTAGGGATGTTATTTTGTTAGGAAAAAGCTGGTCAGTTATCTTGTCTTCTAATTCTATCCAACTAAAGACTTACGTGAGTAGTTATCACTTGACTATATTTTATCATGGGATATTATTCATCAATCAGTTCATTACATCATCCGTTTAGTGGTTGTAAAGATTGTTAAGCTTTTGGTTGAGATCACGAACCGATTGATGTTAGACCACCATTGAAAACTTGGATGCACTGGACGGCCGTTTCGTCCTATTACATCCGTATTTTCGTTATAAATCATAAAATTATATCATGCTGTTTAGATTTTAATCATTTAATTCAATCCAACGAATCGATAATTTTGTCACAAATTTAAGTGACAAGATATGATGTGCACTAAGTTTTAATGTTAGGTAATTAAAAGTAGTCGCCTGAAAACCGTGAATATAGTATTCATGCTAGCTGGTATTTGTCATAAAAATATATTCGTGGTGGTGAACGAAACCAATGATTATCGTAGGGATTAAACTATCAGTATCGGTTCACAGTCCAAAATATTATCAACGACCAATTTCTAGTTAAAAACCAGAAATTTGTTAAATAGTTTATGTGATAGTGAAGAATATTTATAACTCAGAATGAGGATGTTGAAGGTGTCTCGTTCTCTGAGCTGGATAATTAGATTAATCGAATGAGAGCTATCATTTTGTCGCCTGTTCAAAGAACTATTATGACCGAATTGTTTGATGCAACCTCATATTTGAGGGAATATTTAAACTTGTAACTATCACTGATCAACATTTTTCACTAGTCAAGTCATAACCTAAATCAAAGGCATTTAAAAATGAACCTACTAGTAACTTACGTGTACTAGTTTAAATTAATTTATTTAGAATTTCTTAGATTTTAGCCTTAGATGTTTATTTGTGTAATCCTTCAGTTATGTAATCGAAATGACCAAATATTGTGTCAATAATATAGATCGGTTGATTACAACATTGATTATTACTCATAGGATCAATTAATGCACATATGACATTCATCCTACTGGAAGTCATTCATTTCTGTCTATTCTACTGAGTCATTCTTGCCCGACATCTTTTACACCACAGTACGTGTTGTATATAGCAGAGCTGTGGTTCTAAGTATAAATGATCAATATAAACATATGAAGTATAGGATAGTTCGCTATATTAATCAGGCGACATTTTCCCCCATGAACAAATCCATATCGTAATGTGCTTTAGAACTTATCATTAATCTAAAATTAAATCAGAATATTTTGGAGATTGAATACCAATAAAAACATATAAATTCTAATCACCCAATTTTTAAACCATTTGGTTGATATCCTCAAGTGTGTTATTTGGTGGCATTTCATAGATTGGTCACTGAGTAGTGATAAATATCATTTTTCTTTAACCCTTTAATGCTGGAGGAATTCTATTGATCAAGGTGCAATATGCTGGTTAATCTGAGTGATTCAACTTAGTGTGAAATATGTTTTGATTCAAGTTGGTGATCTACAGACATCCATAGAAAACTTCCTGGCTATATAGAAACTGGTCACCACGTCAATTTACATTTAGTTTTTCTAATTATCTATATAATCTCATCGAATTGAAACGATGTTTCTAAGACCAGACTTGCACATAAACCAGAAGTCATAAGAATATATGTCAGTAAGCCTAGTCACTATATACAAAAATAGTTTTTACGGATTCTTAATCTACCCTGACCATCTAATTAGTTACTATAATCTATCTAAAAATTTGTCCGAATTTTCCAAATTTTTTTAATTTTGATCTTACGTAATGTATTTAACAATCTGATTGTTTAATTCTTATTTCACCCATTTTACTAATTACTTATTATTGACATCATAAATAATAATATTTGTATCCAACGTCAAGTTTTATTCTTATCCTTATGTAACGAGGTATGACAATTTATTGATTGTGAAATGTCACTTTAGTTTCTAATTTTAATTTTCCAAACATTGTGTTACTAACTAATCATTATATTGTTGGTTGGGATCTTGAACCGATTGATGTTAGACCACCATTGAGAACCTGGAAGCACTGGACGGCCGCTTCGTCCCATTAAGGGACTCCTCAGTATAGCGCATCCATGATCCCGCTTACGGAATCCAGATTTTTAATGGTGGTCTAACATCAATCGGCGGCCTGTTTGAGCATCTGGGCTACCTGTTCCTGCCATCTAGATATTTCAACAAGTTATCTATTTTTGTTTGTTTTAATATATCATTATGTCTATTAATCGCAC